TGCTTACCTTAAAAGGGTACGCCCATATACCGAATTTGACGAACACAAACGACAATAATAATAATAATAATAATAATAATAATAATTCCTGAATGAGAAATTCATTCTCAGCATTTTCCCCATCACAAATAAGGAGCAGAGGCACAAAAGCCCAATATATTGTGAAATAATTACTTATTGTATAAAAGTAGCCAGTTTATCACAACTCTAAGCAATAACCTAACAATAACTTAATAATACTAATAACTACTATCTATACTACTACTACTACTACTGCTGCTGCTGCTGCTGCTGCTGCTGCTGCTGCTAATAATAATAATAATAATAATAATAATAATAATAATAATAAGATTAGTACTAATTCAATACCAGAAAGAAATCAACTGTATTACTGTTGTAGTTTTATTTGCAACATTGCAATATAAACAAATGTCATTTGTATGCTTACATTTGATACATTAAATACATTTTTCTACTAATACTTTTATTTACATAATATGAAGAGTCTACCTTTAGCAGACTCTCGTTTTGTTGTGATTTTTCAGTGGTATATAGAGTAAAAAAAACGTTTTTTTTTGTTGTGTAAATGCAAATTAAAGAGCATACCACAGTATTTCTTTATTCAAAAATTTTCATAAACACTCTCAAATATTCCTTCTTCCTGGAGTTCTTCACTTTGGACGGCCTGTGGATGAAGAGCAGAAAACTAGTTTTATCTTGATATCAAATTGGTTTAAACATGATATAAAATTCTAAATATACCAACCATTTCTGGAGGCTCCTTTTGCTTGGACATTGTTGTATTTTGTCCTGATTCAGTGTTGGAAGTTGAATGGTCCAACACTTCGTAAATAGACCCAGGTCGAGGCGCCAGACTCTGAAAGAATTTCACACAATGTTCAAGAAATGTAAAAAAAGGAGCTCATAAAGTTAGGGAAGACATTGGACAAAATTAATCTGACAAATCTTTACCAAAGCACAATATCTCAGTCAGCAAAGAGTACAAAGGTTCTCACAGCATAGAAAGAAGTAGACTCAGCTGCTGTCACATCCGTGTTATCTTCCTCTGTTTCTGTCTTCTTCCTGTCTTCTGTGTTCTCCTTTTCTGGTTCATCTGTATTGCTACACTCATGGGTCATCTCTTTCTAAAAAAAAATTGCAGACTGTTTTTAGAAGGAGATTAAAAGGTGCAAGACAACAGAAACCAATATGCTGGAAATACGAAAAATAACTAATTCTAATAATCTTGATTTCTTTTTCTGACACATTGAGCTGATGGAGCTGACAATTGAAGATGGAGAAGAGACACATCTTTCAAAACAGTCTTTCAAAAAACAGTCCAGCACAAGACTCAGGGCAACACTTTAACCTCGCAACATGCTGTTTCTCAACTCCTGAAGTCCCCCACATCTTACCCAATCTCCTCTGAAGACATACACTGAGCCAAGCACACTGAAGAGAAGCAACACTCCGATGAAGATGGCCACAATGATGAAGTCTGTGTCTGTGTAGTCCCACATCTCCAGCGGCTTGTAGCCTTTGGCTGGAAAACACGTCAGTCATTGTCAGGCTGGACGCTGGAACGCAACACAATTGTATGGCAAAGATTCACTGACTGATTACACATCTGCCAGACGAGCAAACCACCAAGGGAAAATGTTCAGAATTAAACATTTTTTGTCCCTTTTTTTTCCCAAAAAAGTGTTATTTTGTAGTTTTTTCAGAGCATTATGACCTGATTTACTACCTGAAGAACAAGTTGAATGAAAACAAGACAATCCAGTAGATTCCCATGCAGAAAAATAAGAATGTTTGTTTTATTATAGCGCCTCTTTTCATCTTCATTTGATTGAGTCAAGTGTTTCCTTGATTTCCTGGCTGCCCTAACAGAAGCCCAGTTAGAATGAGGATCAAATGGTGAGAATCAAAAAACGGATATTAGTCTGTGAGTGTAGGTTTTTTTTTGCAGACGTCAGTGCTGACTCTTCCGTGTCTCTCGCACAAAAAATAAAGCCAACTCATGTTTGTCATCTATTTGGTTGAATTTGATGTTGACCTCTGAGATGGTGTCTTTAATAAAAGCTTCTTATTTGGTTTAAACCCAGGTGTCATCCACATCTAAACCAGCGGTTGGTGTTTATTCCTTTTTCACTTCCTCCTAGTACAAACAGGCCACGCTGAGTCAAAGTGGAAATCACATGGCACAACCATAATGCCTGTAAAAGTTGTCATTATGTTTAAAACAGAGGGGAGAGAGACAAAGATCCAACAGGGTGCAGATCTGATCTGGACAGACGTTGGTCCTTTTTTGTAGCTTTAAATGCACCGTGTGTCCACACCAGAGTACAAGCTATGGTAGGATCTTGCTTAATCACTTTATCTTTTTAGTAGCAGTAATGAACACTAATCAGAGCACTAACTGATCTCCTGAGATCTCACAGGGTCACGCAAAATTCCTTATATCTCATTTGGTTTGACTAAAACAGCTACAACGTTGTCCCCACCTTATCATAAGCAGATCATCATCTGAAACTGCGATGAAAGGTCTGCTACATACTTTACTTCATTTCTCTGTTCTTACCTCTGACTCGTAGAAACCACTGCACCATGACGCTTTTATATTTACAGTAATATATTCCTGAGCTGCTCACGTTCTTCAGAGGGATCATTAGTGTCTTTTTCTTTGGAGAGTTCCCTGTACCAGAAATGGTTTGGGTGAAAATCTTTTCACCGGTCGCGTCGAAGCAGTTAAATGTGTCTCCAGTTTGATTTACTGGTCTGGTCATTGTACACGTTATGTTGAGATCTTCCCCTGAGAAGGCCACGAACACTGTGCGGTCCAGTGTTAACGCTGTGGGAAACAAAGGAGTTTGGTGTTAACAGGTTATCTCATTAATCAATCAGCAGAAGTGTAGCTGATATATTGTTGAAGCGATAATTAACAAGTAGTTTTWTTTTCATCTTCACACCTATAAACTAAAAAAAAAAAAAAAATTCACTTTTATAAAAAGAAATCTTAGTTAAGTAGATCAGAATAAAGCTTACTTAGTGGGGGCATGCCTCGGCACACAGATGGGAGGAAAAATGCAAAGATCCAAGACGACGCAATGGACAGACACCCAAAATGTTGAGGCACCATGATGAGATTTGAGTCCTTTTCAATGGTTTCTCTCAGTCTGTCTCGTCTCACAACTTGATCTTAGTAAAAAAAAAAACTGCAGTGGGTTTCCTGAAAGCAGCGAAACATCCACTTCCTCAAATGATTGCTTTTTTTAGGAGGATGATTCAATGAGAGATAAAAGGGACCATGAGAATGAACATGGATGGTTATTACTAAATGAACTACAGTTTGTAAAAACACAAGAAGTGTTTATGTTTGACAGGAATGAGAAGTGAAAGGCTAGTCTGAATTCAGATTAAGGTCAAAGTCATAAAACTGCTTCAGTCTAAAAAAATTCATAAACACTTCTATAAATCTTTACCACCAGTTTTGTATTAAGGGGATATTTTCACAGGATTTTGTGGTTATTTATAATTGCAAGAAGGATCAAGTTGTAGCATTTCAGATGCTTTGTCAGAAATAGAATATATTTTTTCCAAAACAGATACAAGTCATCTTATAACACTCTAATCTTCAAAACATTCAAGGTGGTTCATCAATTCTGTCAATTCTGCTTGCAAGTAGGCACAAATCTCTATATAACTATGAATCCAGGTGGAGTAAAGTTTTACAGAGTGTTTACATCATCTGTTTTAAAATGTTTGAGGTTTGAGTTGTTTAACATCACTCTGCTTTGGTGTGCATTCAGACTAGCCATTAGCTCATCAGCCTGGTCCACAAACGGAGCTTGTCCAAAAGGTTATCTACAACAGATAAGATGTTTATTATATTTCTAAAACACCCTTAGAGTTGTGTTATGAACTCTGTAATTTACTTCATCCTGTGGTTTAAAAAGAGAGTTTGTGAGTGCAGCGTTTGGTTCTGGAGCTGAGACGAAGTGCAGTGTCGGCTCTTCTCCACAGTGAGACAGTGTTGGAGAAACAACAGTGTGTGTGTGTGTGTGTGTGTGTGTGTGTGTGTGTGTGTGTGTGTGTGTGTGTGTGTG